ATGGCAACTCATATGCTAAATATTACAGAGGGCACACGCTGCTACGCGCATCATTAGCGTGTAGTAAAAACAAACACAGCGTGCCCAAAATTTCCAGGCAGATTACTCAAATGGACAACTTAGAGTTTCCATTAGAATGTAAATCAAAAGTAGTCCAATTTCCACTTACACAACAGACATTAATGCACTCTGTGCAACATCAAAAGCTGACTGACGAAGTACTGCAGCCATTAACGCTTACGAACCTCAAACAGACATTAATAAATAAATTGACAACACTGGACACCAACACGGACAGTTATGATAATCAAAATTTTAATAAATTGCAGAACAAACCCACCAAAAATCAGCCTACTCAGTTGCCTACATGGCAGCAGCAGCATCATCAACTCCAATATGGCATTTGGCAGCCCATCCACCATGATCAGCATCAGCTGCAAAAGCAGCTCCCAGCTGAACAGCGACAACATCCATTGGTCCAGCAATCTGCCATATGGGGGCAGCAGAACCAGCGACAGTGGTCGACGATAGACAACATGGTCAACAATGATCATCAAATGCAGCAAAAAATACAGCAGCCTGACCTTTGGGGGCATCAGCTGCAGCGTCAATGGTCTATGGTGGCTAAAACTGCCTCCTTTGGCCAACAGAATCATCAGCCAATACAGCTGCCCCAACACATAGGCGTGCAGCTACAGAAACATCGATTGACGGTCACCAAGACAGTCTTATCAGACCGCCATACGTATCCGCCAATCCAGCTGCACGCCTACGTGCCGGAGCAGCTACAGAAGCTATGGCACCCGTCAAATCTGCAGCCTGTCCTTTGGGGGCAGCACAGTCAGCAGCAACAGCCGATGGCAGCCACCACGCCCACATACGGGCACATCCAGCACCCGTCAAATCTGCAGCCTGTCCTTTGGGGGCAGCAGCAACAGCCGATGGCAGCCACCACGCCCACATACTGGCACATCCAGCACCCGTCAAATCTGCAGCCTGTCCTTTGGGGGCAGCAAGCACAGCAGCACTGGTCAATGGAAGCCAGCATGGCCTCCTATGGTCACCAGCAACGCCCGCCAAATCTGCAGACTCTCCTTAGGGGTCAGCAACAGCCGATGGCAGCCACCACGCCCACATACGGGCACATCCAGCACCCGTCAAATCTGCAGCCTGTCCTTTGGGGGCAGCAAGCACAGCAGCACTGGTCAATGGAAGCCAGCCTGGCCTCCTATGGTCACCAGCAACGCCCGCCAAACCTGCAGACTCTCCTAAGGGGTCAGCAACAGCCGATGGCAGCCACCACGCCCACATACGGGCACATGCAAGAGCCGCAAAATCCGCAGATTCTTCCTAAGGACAAGCAGGCACAGCAGCAGCGATCGATGGTGTCCCTAATGGACGCCCTTGGCACGAAAAAGCAGCCGCCAATTCAGCATCCTGTCCTTAAGGGGCAGCAGCTTCTCCAGCAATGGGACATTGTTGTCAAAATGGCCTCCCTTGGCCAGGCGCAGCTACTCCAAAATGTGCAGAATGCCCAGCCGGCCAAGCAGGTACGCAATACGGCAAATAAATGCCAGCAAATGCAGACGCATATTGCACACTCGGCCAAATTGGAGCGGCGACGAGGACGCAGGCAACAAATGGCAACCCAGAGGCCATTTATTCAGCCCAGCAGCCGCCGTACATGCAAGCAAAACAGAAATGTTAAAAAACGCAAAATGAAAATAATGCCATGCTCTCACTTACCTGCAATACTGGACAAGCGAATGCATCAGCAGCCAGCCCAGCACAATTGAAAACAGGCCAAACGTCATCCACTCGACGCTGAATGGCCGGACACAGCGCCACCCGATCGTGCAAAAATGATGCAGCGCAAACTGCATATCAATCAGCCTTCGGGCAGAAAAACGCGCTTTGGGAGAGGCGAAAATACGGCGATCCACTTTCCATGCATCCTGGGAGCGTGGTTAGTGTTGACCATTGCCAGTCATCAGCTCCAGCAGCAGAAGATATACACATCCAAAGTGGTGCATTATCCAGCAGAGGTAGCAGCGGCCATCACGCAATGCAATTTGCAATATTGTGTACCAATAAGTCGGCCATGTACCCGATGGAAGCCAATTGTCCATCGAAAGGCCAGAGGCAGACGACCAGTGCATCGTAAGTCGGTGCGGTATAGAATATAATAATTTATTAGTTATATCTAGCCATAAAAATTGTTAAATTTAAAATTTTATTTACTTACATGTACTCAGCGTGCCCCTTTTGTATTTATGTATACTTGCCATTCACACGACAGCATTGCCAGCTGATCGTGCAGAAATTTCCCCTAGCTAACTGACCTAAGACAATATGTTAAATGTACAGAATATGTTATGTTATGTTATGTTTAAATGTAGGTCAGTCGAGATTAAATGTTAAATGTATCTCATGTCATGTTCCTCTCCACCTTGCAAACTGGAGAATGTTGCATAATATTAAGCGCCAACTCTGTTTCTAAAATTTCTCTTTGCATACCAATAAGTAGAAATGAGTAACAATAAAAATCTCTCTGTGGCGGTCGAGGCGAGCGGACGTGCATACCGGACCAGCGCCCGGCCCAGCCAGCAGACTCTGGAAAAAAAACCTTTACAAGTGTTTGAATTATTTTTGCTACTAAATTAAAATTAAATTAAATAAAAGTAAATAAAATGCTTGTGCCATTTAATGGAAAATAATAACGTTTATTAAGTGAACAGTTAATAGACAGTCAATCAGCATTTTTAAATGCTAAATAAATAAATAAAAAGCCAATAAATGAAAGTAAAGTAACCTAAAAATGAGAAAAAAGTGGAAAAATTTATAAAATAAAGTTTTTCTAATAAATCAAAGACTGCCAATCAGCATTTTTAAATGCTAAACAATTAAATAAATAAATTAATAAATTAAAAATATATAAATAAGTAAATGTGTGCTGATATATAGCCTTATATACAGCAAAGCAGCAACACCTTGTTAATTATATTAACAAAAGAAGCCAATCCTGACGAGATACCTGACGACAGCGAGGGAAATCTACGCAAAAAAATGCAAAATTTTATACATAATGCTATGTATATAAGGCAAAAATCAAAAAAAGGGCAAGTACATAACCAAGTAAATAGGAGAAAATGCGCGAAAAGGCGGCGTCCAAGCTGGCGGCCATCGCTGCACCCAGAGCTACAAAAGTAGCTGCCCCCCCCCATACCCCGGCACCTGTTGCTGAAAATATCGCCATTGGCGCTCCAATACAGCTGCAGCAGCAGCTTAAAACACAACACCAACAACACCAGCAACGGCAACAGCTACCCAAGCAGCAGCAGCAACAACACCAGCAGAAGCAACGGAGAAAGCCGAAGCCGAAACACAAGAGAGCGCCAACGCTCTCTGCGGCTCAGTCGCTGTCAGCGCTAGCGTCGGCAGAAGCGCCAATTGAGCGTTTTAGTGACGGCAGCAGAGCGGCAACGAACTTGAGCAAATTCAGCAGCAGCAGCAGCAGCAGCTATGAACGTAGTGAGAGCGATCATGGCAACATGTTCGTCTCGAGCTGCGAACAAAATGTTGGGAGCAATAATTTGGGGCTACAGCAACATGTTGTTAGAGCGCAAGTTCATAGCAACATGCTTGGTGATAGCCCATCCAATTCTGACACAGAAATGATCTGTGTCACAGATAGCCAGGAAAATGAGAAAATTAATAAAAATAAAAATAAAAATAATGCCGATGCTGCTCCATCGGCTAGTCAATTAATTACAAATAATTATGCGGGAATGATGCCAGCTGAAATTATGCAAATTTCAGAAAATGAATTGGAAGCGAGTGGGCAACAATCGCTGCCAATAAATGATGATATATTGGGTACCAAAACTTCTGTATCAAGCAAAGTCAATACGGTCATTAAACGGCCAATGAAGCGTAAAATATCATCAACTATGCCAGCGAATAAAAGTGAAAAGCGTGCACAATTGTTAGCTTATGCTGAGTATATTATGAACGCTGATAGTGTCAGGGATACTCCTACGTATTCTGATTTTCTAAAATCGAATGCAGCCATTAAAATAACCGACAATCTATCAACTGACAATAATATACCAGCAGCTAAATCCAATAAGCACACAGAGGCAATTAATGGCACGAATGATGGTACTACTAACAATGCCACATTCGTAGCTATAGACAAAAACAACAAGGACTGTGATGATATTGAGATCATGGAAGTTGAAGATACGGCAACAGATTGCATCACAAATGCAAACTCTGGACAGTCAATACAGATGCATATAGCTCAACGGGTCAAGGTGCCCACAATATACCTGCCCAATATAAATGATATTCAAAGAATTATCAAAGATATCTCTAATAAAGTGGGTGTCAGTAAGTTTGCTACTAAAAGTACGCAGACAGGTGGTGTGCGCGTGCAATGTGTGGACATTGACGCATATAATGCAACAATTGCGTTGCTTGATGCCTCAAATGTTCACCGGCACACTCATCAAATGCGAAATGAGCGCGGATTTAGAATAGTTATTCGCCAACTACACCATACAACGCCATGCGACTGGGTTCGCATGGAGTTGCGAAGATTAGGGCACGTGGTAAGGTACGTGGGTGTAATAAAAGAACGCTTCACAGCCAAACCTATCAACACGTTCGAAATTGAGCTTGAGAAAAACGATAATAACACTAAGATACTGGAATTGAAACAACTAGGTAGCCAGGAAATCAAAGTGGAGAGACAGCGGAAGCGTACTGATCCTGTCCAGTGCCACCGCTGTCAGGCATATGGGCATAGTAAAAACTATTGCCGACGACCATTTGTATGCCTTAAATGCGGGCAAGGACACCCGACTACGACATGCACCAAGGCAAGAGGCGCGCCTCCAAAGTGCGCCAATTGTCAAGGACAGCATGTCGCAAATTATAAAGGCTGCAAAGCTTTTAAAGATGAGCAAGCGAAGCTAATTGCAAACCGGGCACGAGTCATGCCCATCCAGCACGAGCAGCAGCAACAGCAGCCATCAACCGTCAATAAGCGTCAACACGGAACGCATAACGTGGTGTCCAAGCAGCAGCACCAGAAGATGCAAACCAACATTGCCAACTCAACGATTACATATAGTCAGGTGACCAGCGGGCGAGTCAATCCTGGTCGGGTGCATAATCCGTCCACACAACACCTCCACAAATTCCAGAAGAATCTTCAGATGGAACAAGAGGAACAGCGCCAGAAAATCCAATCAGGAACAGAGAAGGCTCCAAACACACCAGGCGCAAGTTATCAGCAGCAGCAGCAGCAGAAGCAACATAAAAATAAGCAACAGCAACAAAAAGAAAGCCAAGAGCTGGTCAATAATTCAGCCATTAATGCATTAAACAGCAATATGGCAGCAATTATGCAAATGACCATTAAATTGGACCAAGTAGTTGAACTACTTTTGAAAATAGTGGCAAAAAATAATAATAATAATAATAATTCAAATCCTGCAACTAATTTGCATGGATTAGCCACTAGGACGCTAGCCAGCTTAGCTGCTAGTAACTCCTCAGACGCCAATGATACTCGAAATGAGTAAATCAAGTGATATATTGAGATACGGCCATAGAGTGAAGGAGTACTCAACAAACTCTCGGAACATACAATACACTAACAATTTAGCATCTAGCAGAGCCACTCCAAATCGGATAACTGCATTCAACATTGCTAAAATAAGCGAAAAATTTATATTCTCAAAAATGGCTTTCGGCCGGCCTATAGATAAGGCGACCATAATAAAATGCCTATTATCGGACCCAGAAGCTATCTATTTACTAAACAAATGCGTCAGACATGACATTCAAGCCGCCTTGGAAAACTATTTTAATTTTAGTACCAAGGATGCTATCGAAACTACAGATTACTTACTAGAGTACTCAACTGAATGTGTTTCTCCTTCACTCCGCCGTAGCCAAAATGGCAACTCATATGCTAAATATTACAGAGGGCACACGCTGCTACGCGCATCATTAGCGTGTAGTAAAAACAAACACAGCGTGCCCAAAATTTCCAGGCAGATTACTCAAATGGACAACTTAGAGTTTCCATTAGTATATAAATCAAAAGTAGTCCAATTTCCACTTACACAACAGACATTAATGCAATCTGTGCAACATCAAAAGCTGACTGACGAAGTACTGCAGCCATTAACGCTTACGAACCTCAAACAGACATTAATAAATAAATTGACAACACTGAACACCAACACGGACAGTTATGATAATCAAAATTTTAATAAATTGCAGACCAAACCCACCAAAAATCAGCCTACTCAGTTGCCTACATGGCAGCAGCAGCATCATCAACTCCAATATGGCATTTGGCAGCCCATCCACCATGATCAGCATCAGCTGCAAAAGCAGCTCCCAGCTGAACAGCGACAACATCCATTGGTCCAGCAATCTGCCATATGGGGGCAGCAGAACCAGCGACAGTGGTCGACGATAGACAACATGGTCAACAATGATCATCAAATGCAGCAAACAATACAGCAGCCTGACCTTTGGGGGCATCAGCTGCAGCGACAATGGTCTATGGTGGCTAAAACTGCCTCCTTTGGCCAACAGAATCATCAGCCAATACAGCTGCCCCAACACATAGGCGTGCAGCTACAGAAACATCGATTGACGGTCACCAAGACAGTCTTATCAGACCGCCACACGTATCCGCCAATCCAGCTGCACGCCTACGTGCCGGAGCAGCTACAGAAGCTATGGCACCCGTCAAATCTGCAGCCTGTCCTTTGGGGGCAGCACAGTCAGCAGCAACAGCCGATGGCAGCCACCACGCCCACATACGGGCACATCCAGCACCCGTCAAATCTGCAGCCTGTCCTTTGGGGGCAGCAGCAACAGCCGATGGCAGCCACCACGCCCACATACTGGCACATCCAGCACCCGTCAAATCTGCAGCCTGTCCTTTGGGGGCAGCAAGCACAGCAGCACTGGTCAATGGAAGCCAGCATGGCCTCCTATGGTCACCAGCAACGCCCGCCAAATCTGCAGACTCTCCTTAGGGGTCAGCAACAGCCGATGGCAGCCACCACGCCCACATACGGGCACATCCAGCACCCGTCAAATTTGCAGCCTGTCCTTTGGGGGCAGCAAGCACAGCAGCACTGGTCAATGGAAGCCAGCCTGGCCTCCTATGGTCACCAGCAACGCCCGCCAAACCTGCAGACTCTCCTAAGGGGTCAGCAACAGCCGATGGCAGCCACCACGCCCACATACGGGCACATGCAAGAGCCGCAAAATCCGCAGATTCTTCCTAAGGACAAGCAGGCACAGCAGCAGCGATCGATGGTGTCCCTAATGGACGCCCTTGGCACGAAAAAGCAGCCGCCAATTCAGCATCCTGTCCTTAAGGGGCAGCAGCTTCTCCAGCAATGGGACATTGTTGTCAAAATGGCCTCCCTTGGCCAGGCGCAGCTACTCCAAAATGTGCAGAATGCCCAGCCGGCCAAGCAGGTACGCAATACGGCAAATAAATGCCAGCAAATGCAGACGCATATTGCACACTCGGCCAAATTGGAGCGGCGACGAGGACGCAGGCAACAAATGGCAACCCAGAGGCCATTTATTCAGCCCAGCAGCCGCCGTACATGCAAGCAAAACAGCCCGAATAATTTAACAAAGGCAATGAGAACTAGTAAAAAATTAATAGATCTTCAAACATTTGCAGAATTCAAGGAACTAATATTAAAAAAACACAAAGAATTATTACATCCAGGAATTGAACAAAACTATTAATTGGTTCAAAGAAACCCACTATTTCCCAGATTATCAAAATTTAATTCAAAATCTAATAAACGAATGTGAGATTTGCAGCATCGCAAAAACAGAAACAGAAAAATATGTAATGGATTTTTACATAGTAGGAGGTAAACAATTTTCATCTTGCATTGTTATTTATTCAAAATTTGTTTCATTAATAGAAATAAAAAGTAGAGACTGGTTAGAAACCAAACGAGCTATAATACAAGTATTCAACCAAATGGGTAAACCCATCGAAATAAAAGCAGACAAAGACTCAGCTTTTATGCAGCTTTACAATTATGGTTAAAATCAGAAGCAGTAAATATTAATATAACCACTAGTAAAAACGGCATATCCGACGTAGAACGATTTCATAAGACAGTTAACGAAAAATTAAGAATCATTAACAGCGACTCAGACGTCGAAAATAAACTTAAAAAATTTGAAACAATACTTTACACATACAATCAATAACCTCAACAAAAAACGAACGAATTATGAAATTGACACAAGATACAAACATTCACCGTTAGTTAAATCAAAGACAACAACCCCGTTCAAGAAAACAGGAGAACTAAGACAATAAACGACGATAAACATTTTGAGGAAACAAACAGAGGCAGGAAGATAATACATTACAAAATCAAATTCATAAAGAACAAGAAAGAAGTGCTATCTTCGGCACACCGAAGATTTAATACCCTTGCAGACCCAACCTTTTCAAAATGCTCATAGTGCTTTGCCCGTATCTAAGAAGCACAGGGAAAATAGTTAATGCCGAGTATGGTTAAGATATCTTGAAAAACAAAACAGGTTTCCATACAACAAATTACTTTTCGACCGATCGTTCCTATGGCAGCTATATGATATAGTAGCCCGATGTGAATAAGATTTTGCATAAGTGGAGGGAGCATAGTAAAACTAATAAATGCTGAGTTTGGTCAAGATATCTTGAAAAACAAAAAAAATTCCATACAACAGCATAATTTTCGACCGATCGTTCCTATGGCAGCTATATGTTATAGATGTCCGATCTTAATAGAATTTTGCATATATATGGGGACCGTAGTAAAACTAAAAAATACCGAGTTTGGTTAAGATATCTTGAAACACATAAAAATTTTCCATACAAAATCTTAATTTTCGACCGATCTTTCCTATGGCAGCTATATGATATAGTGGTCCGATCTTAATAGGATTTTGCAAATATATGGGGAGTGTAGTAAAACTAATAAATACCGAGTTTGGTCAAGATATATTGAAAAACATAAAAATTTTCTACACAAAAACTTAATTTTCGACCGATCGTTCCTATGGCAGCTATATGATATAGTTGCCCGATCTTAATAGAATTTTGCATATATATGGGGAGCTTAGTAAAACTAATAAGTACCGAGTTTGGTCAAGATATCTTGAAAAACATAAAAATTTTCCATACAAAAACTTAATTTTCGACCGATCGTTCCTATGGCAGCTATATGATATAGTTGTCCGATCTTAATAGGATTTTGCATATATATGGGGAGCGTAGTAAAACTAATAAATACCAAGTTTAGTCAAGATAACTTTATAAACAAAAATGTTTTTCATACAAGAACCTACTTTTCGACCGATCGTTCCTATGGCAGCTATATGATATAGTGGTCCGATCCAGCTGGTTTTGACATATGAACTGCGTGCAACAGAAAGAGGGAATTCTGCAAAGTTTCATAAAGATAGCTTTAAAACTGAGAGACAAGTTCGCATAGAAACAGACAGACGGACAGACGGACATGGCTATATCAACTCGGCTGTTGATACTGATCAAGAATATATGTATATACTTTATGGGGTCGGAGATGTCTCCTTCTATGCGTTACACATTTCACGACAAAATTATAATACCCTCTGCAAGGGTATAAAAACCAAAAGTAGAAGAAACACCTACCAAAATAGAACATACACCAATTGTAAAAGAAGAAAATATTACACTATACCCAAACTTAAACACCTGAGGACAGGCATTTTTCTAATGGTTGGGGGAGTGACATATCCATAGTCGCACCCACCCTTTAACATAACTTAGCACACAAGCATAAGCATAAGTATTAACATGTCCAATATTGTAATCAAAAAGGCTGGTGATAACATCGACATTGGTCAAGATCAAACTGTCCCCCTTTGGTAGACATAAACAATTCACCCTAAATATCACGCCACTGTCAATGTTCCCATCAGAGTACTATCCCACGCATAATTGCTGACGCAGCTCAAACTTCACTCAATTTTGACTCAAACTCTCTCAAAACGAAGTTTGCTAAGCGACCGCAACAGATAAATGAATTAGTTAAAATTCGGGAAGCAAATCTGAATGTACTCATCATAAGAAGTAGCCGTTAGTGAAAATAAAGAATTGAAATATATTTTTTTAAAGAAATTAATGGTGCAAAACTTAATAATATACATATATATATATATATACATAGGCACTTACGCCAAGCTCCACTTTAGAGTGCGAACAGGGAGGAAAAACTCCAAAGGTTATGCATATGCGCCTATAAAATATACAAGTTTAAAATTTGGTACCTGCGCGAATAATACTCACATACATACCTATCTTGAATTAACCCTTTCTATCGGCCCTTACCACCCCCAGAGAGCTCTTTCGGTTGGGTAAGGTAGAATTAAGCGATTAAATAATAATTGCCTTTTTGTTTTCTGTTTTGCGGCGCCTGGCAATAACTTTGCAGTGTTTCGTCGCCTGTTCCATTTAAGGTTGTTAAATGAAAATGCATTCTGTAAGATAAGTGAAATTTTAGAAATTAATACACATTGTCCATAATCACAAGTATATGCAACAATTATACGCCCCTGGTGCAGAAATGTTCACGTTCATTATAACGTAAATAACTGAATGGAGATACCCTGTTTAATAGAAAGATATAAGAAACATTAATTGTTAATAATTATAAGGAATGCAACCAATTATACGCACCTACTGAAGAGAGAAATGTCCGGCTAAGTCTCAATTGATGGGGAGAGGGGGCATAACAGCCGACACGGGCTGATGCAGGCCATCTAGTGGCTAATCTATATTTTGACTCCTTAGCGTAATCATCTGCTTTATATAAGGGCTTAATGTGTTTATTTAAACTATTAAATGTTTTATTAATGTTTGGCTTTTAACTAAAAATTAGTTTGTATGGACAGTAGTTATGCGTTGTGTATGGGGTATTATTAAAACAATATACGAAGTATTGTAGCCAAATATCCCAATCAGTTTTATCAACTGATATATAGGAACAAATGAATTCGTTGAATGTTCTATGGCTTCGCTCTACTGTTCCTAAAGTCTGGTGTTGGTGTGCTGTTGAAGTTATGTTTTTGATACCAAGGTATATACACAAATCTTCTATAACTGAGTTTCTATATTCTGTTCCCATGTCCGTAATGAACGTCTTCATTGGACTATATTTCAGAATAAAATCTTCAAATATAGCATTAGCTACAGTTTTAGCACTTTTGCTTGGCACAGGTATGGCTATAAGGTATTTTGTTAAGTCAAATATCAGTATAACTGCGTATTCATTACCTTGCTCTGATTTTGGTAGTGGACCGATTGTGTCTACTATTACTCTATTAAAGGCCATTAATGGTGTCTCTGTCAATGTGAGAGGTGTGCGTTGACAATTTTGATATTTGGCATTTCGTGCATTTTTCACATAATTTGTGATATCACGCGACATGTTTTTTCAATAAGAATAGCGTTTTATTTTAGCAATGGTGTTCGTTGTTCCCGTATGCCCTCCCTGAATTGGATTATCATGATATGTAGACAATATTTCTTCGATTTCTTTTTTATTTTTTAATGTGGTCACCGGCTTGAGTAGCGCTACTCTTAGATTTTTCAATGTTTTATTGCCCATTTCTTTAAAGAGATCTATTGAAACGTATTCAAAGATTTCTTCGCACGGTGTCATATTAAGTTGTTTGATACTATACATATATGCCGGCTTCTTTTTCAAGCCTTTGGAAAAATTGATCTAGATCAAAGTCTCCATTGGTATAGAGATCAACAACATTAATTCTTGCAATAATCTTTTTCCCATGTTTTAAAAAACATATGGCCAAGTTTATACGCAAGGTCACTACGTTTTTAACATCTTCATTTCGAATGAGGTTATATATTTTGGGCATCGAACTGGCCGGTTGCTTTTCCAATTCGAATTCTGTTCTGCGGTGGATTTATTCTGTCTACTTTTACTTCTTTTAGTAACTTTTAGTATATTAGCTGAGATATTTTTAAATTATTTTATTGTGATACGGGATAATGCATCAGCAACGAAGTTGTCTTTGCCCTTGACAAATTTTACAGTAAGATCTCTTCTTAGTCTAGTGTCATTCTCGTTAATTTTGAACTTGGATTTACAATTGAAAACATATATGTCAATGGTCCATGGTCTGTTTTAATATTGAAATGTTGGTCGACAATGCGTTATTGCCCAGTTGATTGCTGCCAACTCTTGTTCGGGTTGTATTTTTATTGCTTTCTCCTTTTGTAAATGAACGAAAAGCACATGCTACCGACAATTGTTTATCTCCATAAGTTTAAGTTAAAACTGCTCCGCAGGCTAGATTACTGGCATATGTTATGATGCAAAATTCTGTGCTAAAATCTAGGTATTTTAGTAAAGTATGCTTTCTAAGAGCTTTTTTTAAATAATCGAAAGCTTCTTGGAATTCATCGGACCACTCAAACTTTACAGTCTTTTTAAATAATCTTGTTATGGGACGTGAATAATCTGCAACATTTTTTATAAAACGTCTGTAATAATTGCAAAATGCAGCGAATCTTCTAGCGCTGTCGGGGTCGGTAGGGAACGGGTAATTTTCAATGACATTGCATTTTTTGTCATCTGGTAAAATACCTTGATCGGTACACTTATGACCTGGAAATAATAATAATATAATTTAAGGTTGTGTTTCCTGCATAAGTCAAAAACGCTTGTTAAGTTTTTGATCATATGTTTTTCGGAACAACCGATGACTATTAGGTCATCCATGTACAAGAATGCTTGTGAAGGATCTAATCCAGAGAAAGCTATTGTCATCATTCTTTGAAAAGAATTAGGCGCTATTTTTAAGCCATATGGTAATCGTGTATAACGTTAAGAGCCATTGCTCGTTGAAAAAGACGTAATATTTCTAGATTATTCTTTTAGTCTATGAGAGACTATGAGTCTATGAGTCTATGAGAAATATTTTGCTCTGCCCAGTTGGTCAAGAATATCATCTATTCTTGGTAACAGAAATTTATCGGAGAGTAATTTTTTATTTATTTGACGATAGTCTATAACTAATCGCCATCTCTAGGTATCGGAACCCGGTAATCCGTTTTTTGGGACAAGAAGTATAGGGCTGTTATATTGCGATACAGACGGTTCTACAATTTTATCCGAGATGAGTTTTTCGACTTGTTTATTAACTTCTTCTTTATGAGTATGAGGAATTCTGTAATTTTTAATGTACACTGGCTCAGTATCTTTTAGTCTTAGTTCCTATTTATAAAAATTATTGGTCGTTATGGATTCGGTTTCGAGTCCGAATATGTCTATGTACTTGGTGCAGAAATCTTTTAATTGTGTTTTAAATCACCGTTTTTTTGCGATCTTTGCTAATTTCATGGACTCTTTCATAGTCACTTAGCTTTTCTGTTAGCATTTGACGTTATCGGCAGCATCGATTGTTTGCTTCGTTTTTAGCGTGCGATATTACCGGCCACGCCGATATCTTTTTGTCATAGGGCCCTATTTTAGCACCAACTTTTGTAAAAGCCAGATTATGTAAGGTACTTGGCAGTAGCTATTATCAGTTGGAGGACTTGCAAGGAAGATTAGTAGGAAAGTTCCACGCAAAGGACATAAATCAGTAAAATTTTTTTTGTAGTGTATTCAAGCGGGTATCCCACTTTGCCGTTTTAACGACTAAGTGTGATTTTGGCAGGGGATTTGTAATATGCCGCTTGACAATATTAAAGTGGCAAAAAAAAAACAAAAAGAAAATAATTTAGTTTTCGGTACCTCAAAGTAGGCAGTAGAATCTTATTCCACTAGCATTCATGAACTTCGCTTGAAACATTAACTATAAAAAAAATAAAAGTAAAAAAATCAACGTTTACATTCGAAACAGAAATATATAGCTAGTTTACAATTTTTTTTGGTTGCTCAAAGAAAATTTATCTGCATGCAATGACTATGGATTGGCAGCGGCGTCTAGCGGTGAGTTTCCAGTAGCTTACTTGGTGAACTAGGCGGCTGCGCAGTCAGCTGTTTATCCCTAACTCTGACAACTACCTAGAATAAGGAAAAAAAGATATCCGGAAAACTAGGCCTCCATAGTAAAGTGTGGGTAATGACAAATTCTTTCTTCTCGTGTATTTCAAAGAGATCGCCAAGCCAGTGAAAAATAAATATATATAGTGCCATAATAAAAATATAAAATAAAGAGGATAAAATTATTACGATTGCTGCAATACCACTGCTTGCACATAACCCCCTCTACATTTTTGTACTGCGTACATTTGGTGGAGGAGAGAGGCCATTTCTTTTCCTTAGTGCCTATTCCTTTAAAACAAAAGAAAATAAAGGACTTGGCCCTACGTATAAATTAAAAAAAAAAAAACAAAAATTGCAACTTCAATTTCCATCCAAGTCATGCACCCAAACAGCTGCTAGGCGTAGTTCGCAAGTCTTCCCGCCTACGTCATAACTAAAACGGGCAACAACAAAGAGCTGGTGCACACACCCATATTCGCACACGTGAGCTTCTGTCCGGTCAGTGACAGTACAGCTTTACAAGCGGGCGAGCTCTCGGCAGCGGGAGTTGCCGTGGAAGACTGCCGGGAACAAGGGAATCAACCCGGAATCGTTCTCCCACCTTTATAACGCCGAGCTATACAAGCAAAGGTGGAAAATCTCGGTGTGCGTGGCCAAATTTTCCGCTCAATTCCCATCCAAGTCATGCACCCAAACAGCTGCTAGACGTAGTTAGCAAGTCTTCCCGCCTACGTCATAACTAAAACGGGCAACAACAAAGAGCTGGTGCACACACCCATATTCGCACATGTGAGCTTCTGTCCGGTCGGCGACAGTACAGCTTTGCAAGCGGGCGAGCTCTCGGCAGCGGGAG